AAAATATATCTATAAGAAACCTCAATGTAAAATTTTGATAATGACATTTTGTGATATGAAATTGACTTTAAAAATGTTCATACTTAAAAAGTACTGGAAATATGTATTCAGTATAAAATGAAACTCACTTATTTCTAAACTAACAAATTTTTCATTTAATAAAGTATTTTTTATTAGAAAAGGATTTTAACCAGTTTATCTGAGTACAGATATAAAAACATATTTTAAAATAATTCTGAAAAATTTGATTTTGTGAATTTTTTACATCACAAATTACTTGTATAAATGTTTCAAATATTATGAACATTTTAATAAAAATCAATTAAGATAATAAAATATGCAAGTTACAGGTTAACTGTCAATAAAATTTATTTATTCTTAAATATAACAAGAAATTATTGGTGATTTTACAAAAATAAAAAATATTTATTTTAAAATAACATAATAATCTGAAATTACTAAAATTCTGATTTTTTTTTTACCCTTGGTAAAAATAGGCACATTATTTAACACTAATACAAGCCTTTTGTTATGGGATTCTTTGCAAAAGCAACAATTTTCCTTTATATCAAAGCTTCTGAACAATAGTATATAAAAGAAATGTAACAATGCATTAAATTGTTTTTATTCAAAGTTGAAATATTTATTGTTGATTTCAATTGTTGTCTTTATTTAAATTTTTCATAACTAAACCACAAGTGTTATAGATAAATTTATTAAATTTGATAACACTTCTAAATATTTACAGAAATAATATTTGTACATACATTATGCTATTTTTTAAATCCACATCAAAATAGATATAAAAATCACAATGGCTATTTTATTTTCGATATTTATTTTTTATCATTATAAAGATTACAAAAACTTTATGGAAAAGGTGAAATTTCAATGATAACTGAAAAAAAACCTTGTTATTATCTGGCCCACGAGCCTTATCATTTTTTAAACTTCCTAATTTTGTCTTAACCAGCTCAAAGTAAAATAATTAAGATTAATTTTGTATTATAACATACATAGTTTTATCTAACTTCCAATAATATTATTTGTATTCTAGTTTTTTATTACATTTCTGAAATTATTAACTTTTCTTTTGAAAGCAAATAATTTGATTATCTGTAAGTCGTAATTTAGGTTAATACACAAATGGCTCAGTATGCATGTTAAATACTTTTTATAATTTATATTTTTACAAATACCCTTTTTGTTTTAAATAACTCGAAATCAAGTTGATAATTATAATTATTAAACTTGTAAAGGCAGTAGTGTACATCTCATTAAATTTAATGAAATACAGTATTAAATTCTAATGAATTTCAGATAAATATATATTTCAAAACTCACTTGTGTCTTCAATGCTTTTTGTGCTTTCTCTGGCCTTCTGATTCACTGCCACTGCATGCATCTTTATATTGTGAACGATGAAAATAAAATAATTTAATTACATTGAAATATTGTTATTATCTACATGGAAGATATAATCACATGGCAGTAATCATGTGTAAAAATAGTTGAAAAACAAATATATAATTATCTAGCACATATTATGATGAAATTATAATATGCAATTATAATATGCTCAAACTGATGCAGAAGATCTGGAAATTTTTAAAATTTATGAATGTTTAGTTGCACATTATCAGATTTGTAGCAAAAATTTAGCAATAAGCCAGAAATTTTGTAATATTGAATCAGCTACTGAGGAAAATGATAGGTAGATATTATGATACTTTTCCAGTATAAAAACTGTATTATGCAGAGTTAATGAGTTTATCATAATAAACCTTTGCTTCTTATATTTAAAACAAATTAAGTGAGATAGACTTATACATTATTATTTCTTACCAATGTTTCCCACTACTCATACAATTTCTTGATGACTTTGAGGATTTAGACCCTCTGGAAGATTTTGACACCTCGCTATCATTATCAGAACCTTTCCTGCTGTGGTGTTGCCTTCAGGTTATAAATGTATACACAAGTTAATAAATTATTACTACTTCAGCTGGTAAAATATTAAATAACTATATTATATAACTTATTTGCTAGTTCCACAAATATTCTATTATGTTTCACTCTAAAATTTTAGTGATCACTTAGTGAGTGAAAATATTGTCAAAAACAAATAAAAGTTAGTTCACCGTCTTCTCCTGGAATCACTCTCCATTGAGGTTGAGTGTTGATGGATACAAACTTTTTAGTGACCGAGGAGAAGGGTTGGTTGAATTTGAATAGACCTCTGTCAATTGCACAACTTGAATTTTATTAAATTATTTTACATATTAGTAAATATAATACACATACTTTAACTAAAGAGTTTAATATCAAGAAATAATGACCTAGAATAATGCCACTTTCTCCTAATGAAGTATATTAGAAATAATTATAAAGAATGTTCAAACGTAATCTGTATACTCAACATAATTAAATGAGTATTTGTAATTTGTATATATGGCTAAGTAACTAAGGCTATCAACTGCCTTCCAAAAATTTCAACTACTGATCAAAGGGAAAGCAGTGAATCAGCAGCATTTACCACTCACCATCTACACTAAGGCATTTACTGTCACACCTATAAGCCACCAACAGTGCAGAGAATATTTTGTGGAATCTCAAGGATTCAAACCCACCTTGCCAGCTCTAAAAGTCAGAACTCTGCCATAGGTCAACCTTCACCCAAATGAAAAGAGGGTCGAACATCTTTTATGTTTCAATAAGCATATAGCACATTTATCATAACTTTTTGATGAAACAAAATTCACTAAAATGACTTAATTATAAAGTAAAATATTTATCATTATAGTGAAAACGACTTCCATGCTACCCATGGTGAAAGCACTAATATTCAAATTATATTTTATTCAGAAACCAGTACATAAGCAAATTTATTTTAAGAACAAAGTAATTTACATAAATATTTTCATGTAATAATTTACCCTCTTAAGTTTATCAGTTTAATTTCTGAAGCAAAATAAAATCTTTATATCAATTATGTGATACAATATTCCTGTATTGTATGGCAAAAAACAATCATCACAGTTACTTGCTAAGCTTACAACAGCATTTCTACAAACCATCGAGAGTGAAACTGATGGGTTTTTTTATCTACTTTTGAAGTCATCTATCTACTCAGTCATGGATGCTTTGAGCACTTTTTTTGTACTTATATATGATCTTTCAAGTGCAACAGAAGATCTATGGAAAGTTTGTTAAGATATGGGAGTCTAAGATTAACATTGTCATCCTTCACTAAAGCTTGTTGCAGAGTCAGGAAATAGTGTTTACTCATGGCCATCAGACTGAACAGGGTCAATGATGAAGAAAGTAGTTCCAAAGTGTTAGGTATTAGAATTTCAAATAGCTTGAAATTGAATAAACTGATAAATTTAAATGTAGTAGTTAAATTGTACTTTGGATTTAGTATTGAAATATATGCCGATATACATTCAGTTTATGATATTTGCCAACGAGATTGACACACAGTTTTCTTTTTCAACACAAATACATTTTAATATACACACAACAATACAATTTACAATAAAAGTTGTTACAAATAGTTATTACAAACAATAATTTATAAACAAAAGTTTCACAAACTTACAAGCAATATAAAGTTTTCTTTCTAGTCTGGTACATCTTCCATATCTTATTGAGTGAGTTAATAATAATTTGTAGGTACAATTCGCTTAACGCGAAGCAAGCTAGCTTTGTCCTTTGCTATCTATCGGCCACACACGCAAAGTTTTCTACGATGAATTTATATAATGTTTTCGTAAAAATACTAATGTCTGATAAGAATCCGCTGAAGTTAAACGATTTGTAATGTTCGAACTTTGTAAAGGTTCCTGGTCAAATATCTGAAGTTTTCCGGTTAATAAGTATTATAACAATCACAATTATGGCTTCCAAAGTTAACTGCACACTAACAATAGATATTCTCGTTTTCGACGCGTCGCGTTAGTTATATTTATAGGCGTGTGGAGGCGTTCTAGAAATTTCAGTTTTCGGTAACAATACTGAACTACATTTAAGCGTTTACGTATATTCATATACTGTTGGCTCTTACTCACGAGAATCTTCTACCACTTTCGAGGAGTTTCACAATACATATTTAACACTATAAGTTATGCATGTTTTAAAATATAAACTTAATCTAAACAAACGTTGATATTAAAATAAATATATAATAACAAATTCGTTACAAAAGGCAACATGGAACATTAAATACCTTTTTTATAAAGTGTAATTATCCCTTTTTCTGTACAACCATGATAAATTTATAGTACTGTTGTAAGCTATGCTTTAAGTATTTTAATTCAAATGTTTTGTTTTTGTATGACATTATGATGATGTCTAGATTTGGTG